AGTCCCCGTTTGTTTCTCCGTCCGTGAAAAATCACTCCACTGATCCGCCTAAACGTTATCGATTAATCTTTACGGAATCTCTCGCCCATTTCTCGCTGAAAATAATACGATACGATACGATTTTCAGTTCGGGATTTCGCTTCCGACAACCGATTTTTTTTCTTTCGATTTTTGAATTATTCATGCTCCGCAAAGCCGAGTGGAGACGAACTGAAAATTGCATCACGAGATTTTACATTTCAAAATTTTCTCACACGCGCTCGTTCTCTTTTTTCTTTAATTCTAAATATTAGAAATTAGGCTAGGAAATTTTATTGTTTCTAATCTATTTTATTATTTTATTATTATTATATTATATAATTAATGTAACATCATAATTTTTATGTATATAATTTATTAATAATTTAACATAGTTTTTTTATATATATGTAATATTATCGTATTACATATTTTATTATTTTATTTATTATTCTTCCTAATTTACCTATTTAATTGGATTAGTTACGAAATTTTTCAATTTCAGAATGTTCGATTCAATCTCTGTCGCGAGGAACGCGAAACACGAAAAACATGACATTAAATATCCTAAATTTCACTGAATTTTATTAATCTACTAATCTACAATCTACTAACCTGTCAATTTTCTACCGAAGAATGCAAAACGCGTGGTTAGTGATTTATCTAAAATTACTTAATTTTCGAACTTTTAATTTCACCCATCTCCAGTGCCAATTTCTCCATTCTCGCAAACAATAAAAATTACAAGACGAAATTAAACATCTCGATAATCCGACTCAAGTACTCCGCGTTATTCGATAGGATCGGAAAGAACTTCATTTATCGGAATACCACCGAGAAATCATAGTCTCAAACGTCCTGCGTTTAGCAGAAATTCAATCAAACCATTTGTTTGCAAGGTGAAATCGTGGAACGATTCGTAGAATCTCGACTCAAGTTGACTCGAAGCCGGTTAAAATAACCGAATTTCGCACGCCGGCCATGAGAAATGTCCGCAGCTTCAGCTTTCAGGGACGGAATGACCCAGTGAATGAAAAAGTGTTGGAAGTCGTTCGGTCCGATGGCAGTGCGAGAGGCATTACACCGCGCTTGAATTATTATCGAACGTTGTCAAAGGATCGAACCCCTCGCTCGCCGCCATGGAACACGCTGGTAAATGGGTCCAAGCGCGAACAACCATAATCCTGGAACGCATGCATAAATAGGTGGACGAGGATGGCTTTTAACGGCTCTCTCTCTCTCTCTTTCTCGTAATATATAAAAAAAGAATATCGGAGAAAAAAAAAGAAGAAGAGCGTCTACTTTTCCGCGGCCCCTTCGGGGATGGAATTTTCGCTTTGTGCTCCGTTTCGTTCTGCTTTCTTCTTTTTTTTTTTTCTCGAGCAACTTGCAATTAGAGATGCTCGGCGAGTTTCCCCGAGTTGATTTTCCACTGTTTGGCGAGATTGAATTAGTACACAGTTCTGTCAGATTTATCGAGTCGATTTTGAATAATTAGGGACCCCTAGTTACGAATATGATGTTAATTTTTCTCAGATTGACTCTGGTTTTCGAACAAATGTGATAACTGCTGTTTAAAATGTATTAAATACACGGCTGTTTCGCGAAATGATATTTTTTCCTTCTGTCACAATAGTGTGTTCGCCACAGATGTAGCAGAAAACCTGAGGATTATTTGCACACTGAAAAATGCTTGTATATTTCCTCAAACGAGGCCACTAGTTAAACTAACACTGATAAATCAAGTTCTTGTTATTTTCTTAGAGGAGGATTTATTTTTTAGTTGATAATGAGTTAAATGTACGTTATTTTGTCAAGTGAAGCAGATTTGAAACATTACAGTTCAGGAATAGATCAAATTTGATCGATTTCGATTATTTTAGAAATCAGAGTCAAATTCAGCCAAAGTGAATATATAATAGGAAATGTTATACAATATTCACCTCAAATATTATACAACATAAACCGATCTTTTGTTTTTGTTTCCCAGTATTGTTGAAAGTTCGGAACTCTTGAGAAAACTGTTATTGAAATTTATTAATTTTTATTAAATTTTATTAAAACTATTGAAAATAACTGTCAGAAATCAATGGCCGTTGTCAAAAATTTATCAATTATTAAATAGCTGGAATCGTATAAAAAATTCAGCCACTCAAAGTTCCTGAGAGAATTTGTTCATCGATAACAATCTAAAACGATGGAGTGAATTGTCCCCTGATAAATGGAAATTGCCCGATAAATTTCTTTGTCCGCGACACTCTGATATATATTCATAGACCTCCGAAAAGTGTCGAGACGAAAAAAAAAAAATGACCACTTCGAAAAGTGACCGCGTCAAGTGTCCACTTGCGACCGAAACAGATGAAAGCGACATTAACTGGGAAAGCAAGAGGCAATTCGCGGTAGGCATCGTCGCGAAATTTCACCGCGGGTTAACAGCTCGGGACAACTTCCGTTGCAACGAGGATGACAAATCACGCGCACCGTTCGGGCAAATTTCTGGCGTGGAAAGTGGCGCGCCACCGTCGATACATGCACAGGGTGGAACGAAAAGTTTGTCCGTGGATATTATAAACGAATTTTACATCTTCGATTTGATGGAGTTAAAAAAATTTCTTTTCTTGCGCTCAACACGAAGGTAGAACTTTTCCAAGGAACCACAGGCCGCGATCTAAATGGCAAAATCTTAATCATTTAACGCGTGTGTGCTAACAGCGACTTTATGGTTCTGAACGCGTGTATATCTATATTACATAATTTTCGTATTAGTTTTCACTAACATTTGATTTATCATAGCATCAGTGCGAGTCTAACTAATCAAACGATAAAATTATTCGAAATGTAAACGCGTTCGGAACCATAAAGTCGCTGTTAGAACCTACGCGTCCGCAAATCTTTCTCGCCATTTTTCAACAGAACTATAATGGCTCCTTGGAAAAGTTTTATCTTCGTCATGACTAAGATATAAACCTTGAAATTCAAGGTGAAGGTCAATTTTGTGGCAGATTCCTTACGCAGATTCCGTCTCCATCAAATCGAAAGAGAAATGTAGAATTCATCTATGATAGTCTTTTTCTTCCCACCCTGTACATACATGTATTTCCGACGGTCGAGTGACACTCTATAGTCGAACGAACGAACGAACGAACGAACTGCTATTTGCATACATGACCTGGCGACAGATGACGGCGCGCGCCTCGTCTACACCGTAGCCGTGACCTAACGTTACAATTTCATTCGCCACGCTGCCCGTTGCTATTCCACTTCGTCGTACGTTTCGTCTCTGTGATCCACCTGTGGATAGGACAAGTAGCGAACGCTCGAGCCGAGAGTGCTAACCGAGTTTCACTTTTGTTCAAACGAATTTCCATTCCGCTGGCGGGCCGACTGTAATTAGCCCTCAATCGGTCCTGAACCTTGGTTCCATTAGGACTGCAGGGAATCTACAATACGTTAGTGCTTTTATTTCATTCGATTCGTGTCTTTTTCTCTTTAGAACTTGCAACTTGGACACTGAATCGTTTTTGAATTGGATTTCGTCAATGATAAGCAAGATATAAAATTTAGGGCTCGATTAAATCATAATAAATGTTAATCCGTTGAAAGAAAAAGCTAACTAATTGTTAGGAAAATACAGGTATTTGAAATTAATATTGATTTCTATTTAGACAGAGATATAGCTGTGCAAGCTTGTGTTAAATTTTAAATATTATTTAAATTACATTTTAATTATAATTATGTATAATTTATAATATATATTATATAACATATATAATATATAACTTATATTGTATATTATTTAAATTAAATTAAATATTGTAGTGATTTATGCGCAGAATATTTCAAAGACTGGTTGCTCTGATGTTAGTTACAAAGTTTTCTGATTAATAAAAAATGCTTTTGCAATGCTTTTGCAATGTTTGCATATTTTGACACTGAAGTCTCGTTGTTCAATTTACAAGTAAATAACTTTATGAAAAATCATTCCACAGTCCGAGAGATACTTCAATGCTAATTAACGTTAGCCTTCGTGAACCGACGCTGCCTTCGTGAACGTTTGTTTAAAGAAATCCCATATTCTACAAACTAAAGATCTCTTCGCGTAAGGAGCTCATTCATAAATCTACAACCTAAAGAACTTTCTGAAATGTCATATTTCTCTCCTCACTCTGCATCTGGGAGGGAAGTAGCTCTGAAAAAAATTTGAAGTACACGATGTCGTATAATTTTCCTTTCTGTCTGTGGCCTACTTCCCGCTACGTAGAAAGGAAAAGAATTTGGGTCGACCAGCTAAATTATTTTACACTTAGTAGATTTCAGGAAAGCTTTCCTTCAGGCCGATTTTCGACAGTTGGGAAGAGGTGGGAGAAAAGATATCGAGTCATCTCTCCAGAGAAAATCTTTATCACATCTTCATTTATCTTCTCTTTGCCACGAATTACGTAATCATCATAAAAAATCTTCAAACAATTTGATTTCATCGAATATAATGGCTGCAATCTCAGCAATTTTACGTACGTTGTATTTATTATAAAATTTCAGTGTATCATTAACGTTTGTTTTGATATTCGTTTCTAATATTAATAACTCAGCCGCAGTTAAACGTGATTGTATTATCTCGGTTATATGAGTTGACGCGATTCGACGAATTGATTTCACTACTTTGGAAACAATTATTTTCATTTACATCATTTCGCCCAAATCGAAAGAATATTCATCGATCGCTTCAACTTGACTTCGCAACAAATTCGTTCCTAATTAATCAATCGAATTGGATTTCACGAGGAATTGATCTTCGAACCTCATCAAACTCAGTTACACGTTGAAACCAAACCAAGTAAAGCAACAAACAGTAGTTCCTTCGTCTGTACACATCCGCATCCACAGACAATTATTCTACCGCGTTAACCGCCCCAATTGACCCCCGTTTTTCATCCCACTGTACCTTCCTACCATCATTCGTCGTGGCTCAAACGCGGCATTTCAACCGTATCAACCCAAATATCTGTCCTTCGTTTCGAACCGATCGTCGTCGATTTTAATTACGTCCGGGCCGGTTAATTGCGGACGATCCGTCATCGGCGGTCTAATTCGACGAAAGGGGAACGGATCAAAAGCGCGCAACGCGATCTCCTTCCTTCCTTCGTTCGTTCCTACTCCCGGCCCGGTCAATATCGGAATTAATTGGAACTCACTCGTCACGAGGAGATTGGCCGACATCGAGAGATCTGCAATTAAAATTTTAACCGTCCGTGACGTGATTCTTTTTTTCGAAATATCACTTCCCAAACCCCTCGTGACGTTTCGCGGCTGATTCAACGTCGTTCGATCGTGGTTATCGGCGGCGGGGAGGAGGAGGAAGAGGAGTCTCTTCCAAATCGAGTCGTTGTTCCGATGTCTTGATCGTTTTCTGCGTTCTTCGGAGGGTAGTATCGAAAAGGATGGAAAGAAAACGTTTGATTTGATGGAGATACGTGTAAAGAAAATTCTGCCGTAAAATTGACCTTGACCTTGATCTTCGAGGTCAAAAATTTCTCCTTTCTTTGCATTGTATTAAACTTTTCCAAGGATAGGCCGCAAGTGCTAACAGCGACTTCATGTTTTGGGTTCATTTTAGGTTTCTCTAACATTTGATTTATCATAGTTGTTTATCAGTGCGAGTCTGTCAAAACAGTCAAATGATAAAGCTAACTGTTAACATTATTCGAAATATAATCCACGATATAATTCAGAACTATAAAGTCGCTGTTAGAACGCACGTGTTAAATAATTAAGAAATATTTTTGCTATTTTTCAGGAGAACTATTAGGTTTCTTGTAAAAGTTTCGTGATGAGTAGCATACAATTTTAAAAGAAAAATTGACCTTAAAATTCAAGGTTCACTATTTCCATCAAATCGAAGTTACGAACCCTTTTTTCCATTCACCCAATGTATAAAACATTCTCGTAACGAGACCCTGAAACTTGAAACTATGATAAATTCATTTATCTTGTTGTCTTTAGACTGTTCTTTAAAAATTTATCTTGTAACTGGAGACTGTTACAAGTTCATTCATATCTCGAACTTGCACGAGTAAATTTTATCACGCCAATGTGCACAGAGTTAATCAGTCACTTGTAAACCAATCTCATGACTTTTTTTTTTGCAACAAAAGTGCCTCGCCAGCAACGCTGTCCACGAAATTCTCAAGAAATTACGTTTTACGTAACGGAGCAGAACGCATTGTGCAGAAAGTTGGAGCGCTTTCGCGAGCAACTGTACGCGCGTGTAGACTCTCGAAAGCTGGGCGTACAAAGCGGAAGAAATCCCGGTCGATTAGCGGAAAGCTCGCGGAACGAAACTCGTTAAATGATACAATTTACTTTCGCCGTCCGGCTAAGCGGGCCAGGCTTAATCAGCTTTCATTCTCATTCCTCTCCCCCTACCTCCCCCCGCCCCCTTGAAATTCCATCGCGGTCGCGTTAACACGTAGCGTAACGTTCGCGAAAGCAAAGTGATTAACCGGTTGAATAAGGGCGACGATGCTCGTATTCAGACGATCTCGGAATTATTCATCGCGGCGAGCCGGTTCCCACCGTTTCCGGTCGTGTCTGGAACACGGATTCGTTTCACGCGCCGATTAATCTCGGCAGCGAAAAACCGGGCCTCGTCACGTTCTTCTCGACAATCGTTCGTCGTTCCTCCAATTACACGACGGTTCTGCTTCAAACCGTGGAGCGGAGGAAGTCGTCCCACGTTCCTCTTCGTTTAATTTTTCGAACGTTCGCGACGATAGAACAATTCCGTTTAATTCGATATTAGGCCGTCATCGCGCCACATCAGGATCTTTCCTAGGAATATTAAATTTTCCCTGGAACTCGAACGCTTCGTTGATTTAAGTAAACTGAATAAAGTGATGAAAGTGAAGGTACAAAATTTACAGCTGATACAATAATAAAAATAAACATAATGAAAGTTTGGCTCGCCGTGAGTTTATATTATCTACGTTGATTTTCCCTGAAGTTATTTGATACTGTCAAATATGATACGATAATTTCTTATGTCATCTTGTATTTGTTTCTACAAATTTTCGTTTCTTAATTTTCCTTCAACTCGAACGTTTCATTTAATCAAGGTCGAGTTTTTTTTTATCGCTCTGATGCAAGTTTTATATTCTTGAATAATTAGTTTCAATAATTATATACGTTGCAAACTGTGTCAATTATCAGTCGTGCGAAAGAACAATCATCACGTCAAAAAAAAATTACAATAAAAAAAGATGAAGAAGTAAAAGAATAATAGTAGAATTTTTCTAGATTTACAACAACAGTGTTCCCTTAGAAATGTCGATGATTCGATACATAAGCTTGTATTCTTTCTGAACGCAAGTTTAAGTATAGTTTCAATGTTAAACAATGAATATAACATCCTGTTTTAAACCTGTGACTTGGAAACACTTCTTCCTGCGTTTGTGTTTTCCGTGTTTTAGATTTCTCCTTTCTCTTATATATTTTCTATCCCACTCGCTCTTTCTCTCTTCCGCGAAAACAACCATTAAGGCAATGTCTGGCGATGGAGTTTCCGCGGAAGAAAAATGGTTGCTGAATTGTTCATTCAGGGGAAACTTTTCCACTCGGGAGTTTCGCGTATTAAGCTGTTGTTCTATACAGTAATTAACTTCCCCGACGTTTATTCTGATATTATCTGCTACTGGGAGAACTGTTGGAACGCGATTTAGGTGCCATTAGTTTCTTCCATTATCGCGCATATCGCTCGATACGCCGAGAAAGTACAATTAAATAATAAAACAATAGAACAATAAAATAATAAAACGACGAAGCAGAATAGAAATATGACACAAATAGTTTGACATTTTCTCAATTTCTAAATGCAATTATTTTTCATGCTTTTTGCATGTGTCATTAAATACAACTCTGAATATTTTTCTCAAGTTACAGAGACTGTTCTCCTTTCACGTACGCAAGTACAGAAAAATGACGCAAATACGTGTCTCTTAAATTTTTCAGTACAACTATCCTTCACCTCGAGGGTCTTATTCGCTTTTTCCCCCCACTTAACTTTTCGTTATCATATCACGGAACAATAACGTTTCGACAAAGGTGGAACAAAAGCGTCTAATTCGAAACAAATAGCGTAAAAATCGCGAGCTGACAAACGATAATTTCACAATACCAACAAGCGCGTTTGTTGCCTCGCATCGTGTTGCAACTTTCATACGTTGAACGCATTCAGTTCGCATTAAAACCAATTGCCAAAGACCAATTGCTTTGATCGGTGGCGAGTCCGCTATAAAAGAAAAAAAGTGCACGGTCAATTAATTATTTAAAACCTTCCTTAAACGTTCGCCGATGTGAATTATGAAAATCTCGAAAGCCTTTCTCGACCGGTCGCGTGTTCAAAAGTGGAATTAACAGCGGAACGTCGAGCTTCGGAATCAACGAACCGAAATGGGAGGGGGAGCAGAGGGCTTTGACGCGCAACAATAAAAGTCTCGGTTTATCAACTTTTGCTCTCCAGCCTTTCGCGGCGAAGCGCACAAATTTTCACGGGAAATCCCGGGGCCGAGATTGAAGGAAATACCACCGGAAGGCGTGAGTCGTGGGACCTTCGGGGACGAGAAGCCCCTTGGCTTTCGGCGTCCCGGTGGCAAAGGCACAGCCACATAAAATGTCTTTACAATTCGTCCCGGCGCCGTCTTAACCCCCTCTTTCGCCCCTTTCCCTCCGTTTCTCTCCATTGCCACCACGTATCTGTCTATCCACTTATCTCTAACTTTTCACGACGTGGCTTACCGATCTTACCCGCGATCCCACCGCCATTCCGCGCAGTTTATTCCCGCACCCGGTTGTAAAGAGATCCAGTTGGGTACTAATTCTTTGGTGGAAATTGTCAAGGCCGATACTCTGGCTGGTTTCACGTCTTGCACCTGCTGGAAACTTTGTGGAAAGTTTCTTTCTCTCTCTCTCTCTCTCTCTCTCTCTCTCCTTTTTTATTAACAACACGACGAGTGTCGACAACAAAATTGTAAATATATATAATATAGTAATATTTTATAATTTTTAAATTTATTATTATAATATTATATATATTTGTATAAATTTTTGAATATATAATATTATAATAATAAATTTAAAAATTATAAAATATTACGATAAATTATATAGATTGCTTTATATAATTATATAATTTATATAAATTTAAAAATTATAAAATATTACGATAAATTATATATATTGCTTTATACAATTATATATATAATTATATATAATTATATATAGTAAAAATATTACTATACTTTATATATATATATATATATTTTAAAACTTTACTAATTGCACTGCTTTGTACAATTCGCACGACACATTTCGAACGAAGCTGTGTTACACATTCTACATTTCGCAATTACAATTACATTTTATCAACTACTATTACATATCGATTTAAGTGACGATATACATTTCATTCACTTTATTATTACATTTGAGTAGAATACTTAATTTCTAAAAAATTTATAAGAATTCTGAGCAGAATTGGATACCGTATCGCTCCGTTCGCTCTGAAACGATTTTATTCCGAAATGGAAACTGCCGATCGCTAGCAGTGCAAATGTGTTAACGACAGCGCGAGGAGAACGACCAATTAATGCGAGATTGTGTTCCAGCTATCGTTCAAAATTACAGCGGCGAAGCTCCGACCCGTTCAACGCGTTTTCAATTATTTATCTGCGAAGTTCACGCGCGCGGGAATAAATTCCAAAACCGCTTTTTCCATCACTTATTCAATCCCATATTCCGGATGAAGCCGAAAAGCCACTGTAATATGTGCCTCTGACCTTATGAATCAAGATGAAATACGCTAATGATGAGGCAATTAGCTTTTAACCTAATTGTACACGGAACGAGTCATAAGAAACAGGGCACGTAAAATATCCACATTATTTATCCCAATGTCAGATAAAAGTCTGACACTGTTTGAAGAGGAATAATTTTATCCTACGGGGAAATAATTTTAAAAAATTAAACCCGTTTCCTTTTCATTAAAGTATCAAGGAATATTGGATTTTCATTTGTTGATTAGCGCTCTTTGGTAAAGTGTTATTTTATTCGTGTCATATATATAAATATAAATTCCACGATATTTCTCGCGTTTATAAAGATATAAAAATATGTGGAAATCCGTGAAATTTACAAAACTTATCTAGCTCCGAATCCCCTCGCCAAGTTCGAA